GGCCGGAGGGGGAGGAGAGTCGAGTCGGGGCCCGGCTGGGAACTTGTTGCGCGGCCGCTGCTCTCGCTGTGCTTTCGCTTCCCTCAAGTTTAGTTGCCGGGCGGGCGGAGGAAGGCGGGAGAAAGGTCCCAAGACGGGCCTGGGTGGCGGTTTCCTCGGGGGGGGGGACTCGCTCTCTCTTCCAGCTCCGTGAGGACGTCCTGGCCCTTCTGGAACTTGGAAGGCGAGGGAGGGAGGGAGGATCGAGGTGGCAAATTGAACGTGTGGGTGGTTATTTACTACTGGAAGTGAGAGGGAAAAGATGGGGCTCTTCCTGTTTGGGACAGTCGGGAGTCAACCAAGTTGATGGCCCCCCTTCCTCCCAGGGTGGATCGTTTAGTCGTTGGAAATAGAGGGAGCTGACTTTTCTTGGTTTCGGGGGAGCGAAGAGGACTGCTTTTTACTGCCTCCGCCCTCATTTTTCATGGGAGGTGGTTTCATTTCTGAAGAAAGTGTCATCTTGTTGGAAACAGTTGCCCCCTGTAAAAAAGAAGCAGTGCACATTTTGGGCAATTTTGGAAGACAAGCAGAGTAAGCCCCTTGTCTTGTTAACATTGTATAATGCCAAATTGCTTATGCTGCAGTATTATTACTTAACAGGATGGTTGCGTTGGTATCTGCAACAGTTCCGAAAGCTAAAATGAGTGATTGGATTGAGAACAACTTTGAAACCATTTAGGATAGGAGATGTGATTTGCTAGAGGAGACTGAGCAGAGCTTTGGACATTTAGGACTGTCCAATTGCCAGCTCTTTTTGTGGTGTATGTGAACTAGAGATAACTCATAAGAAAAACATGGTGAAACCAGTAGGAAAAAGTAAATTATCTATAGGTTATAATGCCATTGTAATTCAAAGACATTGCTTATTTGTCTGTGGATAGTTTATTTGTAAACCAATTAGATCTGAAAAATTTAAAGCATTGTCCAACAATAATAAAATATCCAATACACTATATTATAATACAGTGGTTGAAATCCTATTGTAAAACTTTACACCGTGCAAGCTGCATGCTGCCATCATCCAGCAACAAGAATACGTAACTGAAATTCATTGAAAGCTTCTCCTCCCCCCACACCCAGTTCAGGTTCCAAGACTCCCTTTTGCCATAGAGGAGCCTTTAAACATCATAAATTGTCTCAAAGCTCACAAAGGTTTCCTTGGGGTAAAGTAAGGCCCTAGGAGCCTTAAAACCTGTAATGAATAATATGAAGTCGTTAGTTGATTTAAATTGAATATTCCTATAATTGAATGGTGTAAGTTATGCCAAAAGGATTCTAACCATTTTTTTTTTTACATTGTCCATAAAATATATGGTAGATTGGAGTGCCCAAGGATCTGGTTTTTCATAGACATTCAGAGCAGTATAGTCATTACATGGTATAGCCTCACTGCTGTAGATTTTTTCTTTTGCTCAAAAATGGACAGTAGTGTGTGATGCTAAAATTTAAATGTTCTTTAATGCCTGGTACTAAAGCAGGCTTATATCCACTCGCCCAGGCCTGTGTACAGGCTTATAAAAACAGTACGTACTGCAGTGGGCTCAGCATTAAGATATGTCATGTATGTATGTGTGTCGTTTTATTGTTTTTGTATTCCAACTACCCAGTTTGTCCAGGAATTCCTCGGGCAGAATTCTGGGAGTTCCAGCCCACATCTATAGACATGTCAGTTTTGCTCAGTTGGACCAGGGCCGAACTCTAAGGCTGCATGGCCTAGCTCTGGTCTTACTTCCTGCCGTTAATGTGTGAAAAAGGAAGCCTCCATGGTGTTTCCTGGGTGTGGTAGTCTTCCTGCACTTTAGGCTCTACAGAGGGCACCTCCCCAAAGAAATGCAAGAAAGTGCCTTCTCCCCCCCCACCACATAAATGGTGCATTCCTTAGCATGGCTTTAAAACATTACATATATTTCCTCTGTTGTGATATGTGTACCAGGAATGTAAGCCCCTTTTGTTTCTTCACCAAAGATAAAATGCAACATTATACTTGTCACCCTGCAAGAGGGGAAGGTTGCATTCTCAACAAGAATAGAAAACACTATGGGGTTTTTGCACAAATTAAAGAAACTACGCAAATAATCCTTTAACACAAATCATGATTCTGAATTGCAATGGGCAGTGCTTCATTGTGTGGACCTTTAAGGATTAGATGCATCAGAGAAGGTGTGTTTGTCTCTCTTAACAATCAACTCTTGTCCAGTGCTTGATCTGTATGTGTGGGTTTTGCTTCTATCTTGTTCTTGCCTGATAGTAAAGAATCTTGTGGAGGTTAAAAATTCCTTGTTGAGATGTCATATCTAGAAAATCTAATACTAAGTAAACAAAGAGTGTAGCAAATGTGTGAGGCAATCTCTCTGTGTGTATGTGTATGTAATATGATTATGTATCTCATACCATATTACTTTGAGGGGGCTAGAATCATGTGAGTAAGATCAGTTTATGGTTGGCTTTCACATGGAATGCCCATACCACACATTCCTTTGGATTTATAGTTGAAGAAAGAGGCATATATTTTATCCACTGTATCTACTACAATTTATTCTACTGTGATTGTGTGAGGCACTCAGGTTTTATTTAAAATGTTTTCCCTTTTAAAGTGTATTTATTTGTATTGTTTATTTGTTTTATACTCAGATTGTAAATTGCCTAGAGTAGATTGGTTGATGGGCGGAGTAAAAGCTGGAAAAATAAATAAAATAAAATAAAATATTTGTGATGTTTGGCAACCTGCTCTTTCATTTTCCAGAGGTGGCTTCAGGGATAGTTTTTTTAAAAGAAAAGCACCATAAATGAAACAGTAGAATAAGTGTTTATTAAAGGAACAAAATATGTGAGTAGCATATTCATTGTTAAAAATACAGTGATGCCTCGCTTGACGAGGACAATCTGTTCCAGTGAAATTGTTGTAGAGCGAAATCGTTGTCAAGCAAGGAAAAAACCCATTGAAATGCATTGAAAACCGGTTCAGTGTGTTCCAATGGGCGAAATACCTCAGCGTCCAGCGAAGATCCTCCATAGGGCAGCCATTTTCTTATCCCTGTTAAGCGAAAAATCCGTCCTAAAAACAGCGGGGAGCCATTTTGCACAGCAGGCAGCCATTTTGAAACCCAACAAGCAGCTGTTTTTAGATCGTCGTAATGCGAAGAATGGTTCCCGAAGCAGGGAACCAATCATTGTCAAACGAAAATCACCCTTTGAAACATCGTTTTGCGATCGCAATAGCGATAGCAAAAACATCATCGTGAAGCGATTTCGTCTAATGAGGTAATCGTAAAGTGGGGCACCACTGTACATTGTATGAGTAACAGATTGAGAGATTTTTAAAAATATGGGCCAGAAAACATTTGTGTTACATAGTATAAAAATATAGCTTGTAAGCATTTTAGAGCTGAATTATCACAACTTTGTCGTCGTCATTTAGTCGTGTCTGACTCTTCGTGACCCCATGGACCAGAGCACGCCAGGCCCTCCGATCTTCCACTGCTTCCCGTAGTTGTGTCAAATTCATCTTGGTTGCTTCGATGACACTGTCCAGCCATCTCATCCTCTGTCGTCCCCTTCTCCTCTTGCCTTCACACTTTCCTAACATCAAGGTCTTATTCAAGGAGTCTTCTCTTCTCATGAGATGGCCAAAGTACTGGAGCCTCAGCTTCAGGATCTGTCCTTCCAGTGAGCACTCAGGGTTAATTTCCTTTAGAATGGATAGGTTTGTTCTCCTTGCAGTCCAGGGGACTCTCAAGAGCCTCCTCCAGCACCACAATTCAAAGGCATCAATTCTTCGGCGGACTGCTTTCTTTATGGTCCAGTTCTCACTTCCATACATCACGACAGGAAAAACCATAGCTTTGACTA